GGCCAATACAGTTCCGTTCACCCCAAAACGGTTAGAGAGTCTAGATATTAGTATTGTATGATCCACCGTGTCAAATGCTGCAGAAAGGTCTAATAAAAGTAATATGGCCGTCTTGTTATGATCCAACGAACACAAGATGTGATTTTGTACTCTAAGTAGTGCTGTTTCAGTTGAGTGAATTCTTTGTATGCTGACTGAAACGTCTCGTCAAGGTGGTTAGTCATAACATGTTTCGTCAGTTGAACTGCAACAGACGTTTCAGCCAGCTCAGAAATAAACTTTAAATTTGAGATTGACCGAAAGCTTGTGAACTGCTTGAAGTCAGCAGTTGGTTTCTTTAATGCAGGTGAAAGCGAAGAAGCAATCTTTAGGGTATCAGGTATAAAACCAGTTGTCAATGACAAATTAACCATCATGGTAATAGTAGGTAGGAGTACAGGGAAGCAATCCTTAAGTACTGATGCTGGCAGAGGATCAAGAAAACAGGACTTGCTTAAAGGCTTATAAGCAAATTCCTTGACGTCTTCTTGACTGACCTCATGAAAGTTATTTAATTCAGCAGCGTTGTTAGGCAATTCAATGTCATCCGCTAGCAATAGATCTATGTTTCCTGCCACAAGGGCAGTGTTTTAACACTGCCCTTGATTAAAATCTTTTCAACTTTGGTAGTGAAAAAGCAAGCAAATGAATCAGCAAGTAAAGCATTGGTAAGAGAAGGTGAATATCGCGTATCATGAGATTTTTGCATAAGCTTGTTTACAGTTCTAAACACCACCCTTTGATCTGAGGAATGCTCATATTTAATTATTGATGTATAATAACTAGATTTTGGTGAACTAATCAAATCGTTGGCAGCGCAACACTGATACTTATCAATCTTTCTTTTGACTACAGCGGTAGTGAAAAGTTGATAGAATAAAACACTAAGGCTCTAGTTCAGAACGAATCAAAACACTTCTCTCTTTAAGAGGTGCAAAATGTGAACGTTTTGATAGATGTTTTCGGGCAATGGTCAGTGAAACGGTTCCTGAGTACTGCTTAACAAATGTTATCCTTAAAGAATGTTGCATTTGAATCAAAGATCTATTTATTTGGAACTTTTTTCAATTTCTTTAACGCGGGGCTAAGATGCACCTTGCAGATCTCGAAAGGGGAGCGTCACATATGGGACAAGTTCTGTTACCACACTTTCGGTGCAGTGTGAACAGGTATTCGGACCATAGCGGGAGTCAATAAAAAGGAACGAGGACTGGAACGCACTGAGTATTCAGGATTGAAGATTGGGATTGAGAGCAACAAATTCTCCTCCTCTCGTCCAAATCGCTCCAGCACACATGCGATGGGTGTGTCGAACGACTTATTTCAGTACCAAGCCGTTGCTTTTCATACTTTGCCGGGTTAGCTTTTCTTGTCGACACAAAGCTATCCGCTATAGTTTAGACATTGCTTTATTTGGCGCTGCGACTGGACAAATGTACGTGACTGATCGGCCGTATGCAATGCAAAAAAGAATAAATAATCGGAAATGTATATCTGTTAAAATGCGTTCTTGTAATGAGGTTACGGATATAATCTTTACGAAAATTTGACCAGACTTAGAACATGATCAATGACGCCATCTTCGGTTACGGTTACGTTTTCCCATAAATTCCTGCAATCGCATCACGAACAAGACGCTGTGGGAGCGTATATTTGGGTGTCGATGTACTGGGCGTGTGTGAAGTTTTTTAATGTGTATTAGGAATGTGTGAGTAGTGCGGTAGCGCTGCACATTTTAGGGGTTGGTTGAGAGGCCTGAAGTGGAAGGAGTTGTATTGGACGTGAATTGGTAAGATAATGGCCATAGTCAGGAGCACATAACCCGGAGCGTCTAATTTCCATACTGCGCCTATGCAACGGCGTTTTCACATGTAGGTTTATTTTTAGATAAGCCTTTCCCGCGAATTGCTTTCAAAAAGCCAATCACTAGCAATTGCGTCATCAATGATAAACTTTTAATACGTAAATAGGACAACTCCTTCACATGGCGGACACACGTGAGGAATCTTCAGAAGAGTCTTCTGACAGTACTTCAAGCGACAATTTCAGTATTTACACTCAAACTAGCAGTTCAGAGCAAGATTTGCAAAACCTAGCCAGGACGTCTACTTCATCGGCGACAACGCATAATTCACGCACAGGGAATTAAATCGAAATTGAAAAGGTCCAAGCGAGCTATAAACAGTCTAAACGACGATCAAATGGAGGAATTGACCTCGTGGAACAGGTATTTTTCGCGGGAAAAGCTTATCTAAAAATAAACTCACTTGTAAAAACGCCGTTGCACGAATTTATGGCAGTTAAACGCTCCGGGTTATGTGCTCCTGCCATAGTTTGTTAATCAGTGAAACTTGTTTCTCGTAGAGTTTAATATGAAGAAGCAAAAAATAATCATTTTGGGAGGTAAAGGTCATTTAAGGCGTTACAGTGAGGTAGTTGTGGAAGTGCTAATTTGGTTATGAAATGTAGTTACATGTAGGTACAGTGTGTTAAAATGAAGTGGTGGTTTTGAAAAGTATTATCAATAGTCGAAAGAGAAGAGGGTACGAAGATGTTGAGGGAGGAGAGCTGAAATTTTAGTGTGTGTGCTCGAGAGCTTTGAAAAATCGGTAAGGCCAAGGGGAGGGCGTAAAATGCGGCCCTGATTGCATGAGCCGGGCTAGATCGCTTTGCAGAAAACCCGGCACCTTAGTAAAACGCAACAAAAATCAACTTTGCGATTATATGCCAACCGAACCAGCCCGGTTAGCCGGGATCCAAGTATTGTGATGCAGGGATCCTGGGTGGAAATTTTCCAGCTAATCACGCTTGCCGGGCGGCCCGGCGAATGAACCAAGCGAAAAACAGGACAGCGGGTAATACACTGTTCATGCGCATTGCTTCCCCGGCTCATGTAATCAGGGGCCCGTTTCTAGAAAGTCCCGATAACTAACGGTCCCGTAAAGCTGTTATTGTTTACATGCAAGATAGGGGTTACAATAGTTTTGCATCTAACTTGATAAAACTATCAGTTAATGAAACAAAATGGAGTAGTTTGCTAGCCAGGATTCGCGCTCTTATTCTTTATATTTCGATTTGAATATTTGATTTCGGGCCCGAAAAGTTATCGGGACTTTCGAGAAACGAGCCCCATGCCCTTACTGTGAGTTATATTGTCACGCAGTTTGCACGTGAAAGCTTTGGAATTAGCTGCTTTCGTGGTTCGTGTATGAGAGAATATGACTTAATCTTAATCGGTTTGCACGTGAAGATGTTGGACTCTGCCCCTTTTACGGTTCGACCTTGAAAGAACACAACTTGTTTACGTGGTCATCTTGCTCAATAAGATTTTAAGAAATCACCTCCTTTCCGAAAATATGCAATGAAATTATGTATCATTCAAAGTTACCCTTAATTATCCCATGCACGAGATCATGGAATTTTGTGTGACATCTTCTTTGGCGCTTGACAACTGAGAGCAAAAATATTGTCAAACTCTTGACAATAACCAAACCATTCACACTGTGTGCTGCGAGGACGATTATTCATTAGTTTGTTTCACTAAGTGTACCTTGTCCAAAAAGTTTGTTTTCTATTGAAAATTTGTTTGTCGTGCGTTATCTGTGGGACGTATGAAACGAAGATAAATGCTGTTTTGTGACACAGCGCGCGGCAGATACTCGCGTCGCTTGGCTTGTTTACTTTTGAACGTATTGCGTGCCAGTTGCAACTTTGAATCAAAACAAGCGAACTCGATTACTCTATTTGGACGACGCCCAAATAATAACATATTTCCTTTGCTCTCCGTGCTTGGAATAATCAAATAATATATGGATTTAGCTAGGGCTAAGAGGAAGCTCTCGTTAATATTAATAGTTTACTCAAACAAAATAGAGAATCGTGTAAATCTAAGCGGCGACGGCAACAAAAGCGGCAAAAAAAATCAATAGGTATAATTAGCAAAACAAAAAAACAAACAAACAAACAAAAACAAAAACAATTTTGTCCAATTACAGCAGCCACCAAGGTGAAAACGAGCCGTCGTGAAAAATTAAGTAAACTGGAACACATACGACATTTCCTCCATAAAACGTGTAACTAGGAAGGTTCTGAAACGGCAAAGAAATTTGCAAAAAAGTGTGCCGCAAATGCATCTCAATGAAGACTTTAAAATTTAGTCGAAAGGAAGACTCGGCTTTGTTGCTGTTTTTTTTTTCTTTCTAAAAGTCCAGGTGGCCGTGCAATTTCCCTCCGAAACGCGCAGGTGCTTGAAATGCGAAATTTCAACCTGGCTTACACGAATAGGTGGACGTACGAACGAACGATTTTTTCGTAAATGCATAGATAACCAAATTTTCTTACCCATAGTGCTCCGCCGCTAGCGCTTCGAAAATTCTCTCGCCCGCCATAAAATGAAATAGATAAGTTATTTCGCAGCTCTACAAAAAATAAAAATTAAAACAACAAAAGTCTAAATACTGAATATAAGGTGTATTACTAATTTTGGCTATCTATTATTACGTTTTTTGAGTAGTTTCATTTTGAAAAGCATACATTGAAAAAAAATTTTGTCGTCTAAAGGTAATGGCTCTTCAAGATTGTCGCCACTTTTGGGCCAAATATTCATAGGACTTATCGTATTGTATCCATATTCAGTTATTCAGCTTCCATTTCCGAGTATGACGCTAGTCTCAAGGTGTTTCTCTCACGGGGAAAGATGTTGCCACGCCCCTGTGGCGTGTCTTTTTTCACAATTTATAACGCGTCTTCACGACCTAATTAAGTTGCTGCGTTTACTTTGTTAATGACATGATCGAGCCAAATCACAAGAAAAACTTTACATTGAAATAATAGTTCCAGTACTATAATTAAGATACGAATCAAAACGATGCCTAGAATTGGGCCAATCATAAACTCTTCATTAATCCTTTGCAAAATGTTTTTTTTTTTATTTTTTTATTTTTTTTACCCAGGTACGGACCATGAAGAGCATTTTCGTTTGGGCCTGCCTGTTAACTGCTCTTTTTCAGCCTGGCGTGTCAGATATATACTTGCATTGTCCACCAGGATCCAACAATCGACTGAGCGGTGAAGGTGCAGCAGTCACGAATGCCAACAGACTGTTTGATTCTCAGGTAGGTGGAACTGCACTGTTTATCCTGAAAATGCTGCGAATAAGTTGAAGCGATTTCTTGTCACTCACTCTCCGCGCTGAGGGTCACTCATACTCTAACAGGCAATTTATGTACGGTTTCGCTGGTTTGCCTCTCCCTTTGATGCCATGTAATAGCAGTACCTAAACAGGATGTGGTTGACACATTCTCACCATTCGCCCCTAGAAATACCTCTAAGATTCCTTATATTCGGCTACAAAAAAATCTCTCCAATGCAGTCCCGACATCATGATTACAAAATTACACAGACTCTATATATTGTTTCTCAGAGAAATTTATAAGTTTGGCATGCCTGTAAAATTTAGAATCACGTTTACGGCAAACAGCAAATCTTAATTGTACCACGTGACCAAGTTTTTCCTTAACTTGTGCTTTACTGTTCATTACTTCTACCCCCAAATTAGTAGCTTCTCGTTGCGTTTGTCTATAACAATTGTTTTTGACTGGCTTTAGCTGCACGTTTTCTATTTTGAGAAATTCTCAACTTGAATCTGACGTTTGCCGTTTGCCGTAAACGTCACTCAAAATCTCTCAAATAGCAAGGGCTTATCTATGGCGGGACATGTTTACGGAGCGAATTACAATAGTGAAAGAAGAAAAAGAAAAATTATAAAGCCGGGAAATTTTTTAGAGAAAACAAAACCAATATAATGACTTTACCTAAACATTGAACGATGATGTAAATCTTATCATTTTGGTTTCCTTTACGTAGAATAATGGCAACGCTGGATACAACGTTGGGGACAAGCTGGGTAGTAAGAAAACTCCCCTTCCAGAGACCGATCAGCTACCACAGGTAAATTCATTTCTATCACTGGGAAGAAAATCGCGTGTATATTAATAAAGCTACGCAACAGTTTGCATACACATAGACTGAGAGACAAATGCGATCATAACGTATCATAAATTTGATTCTTCTTTCATTTTGGGTTCGAATTGAAATTAAGGGCTTATTTGATTGCTGATCGTTTACGTGTTTAGTGTTATTTAGTGTGGTTATTACTTGTTTCGAAATGTCAGTGTCAATGTAGTTAAAACAAGCAAAACGTTTATTTATAAGCTAGGAGCCCATTTAATTTTTAATGTTTACGGAGCGAATTAATTTAATTTTTAAATTAAATGGGCTTAAAAGATAATTTTTTCCAACACTACTGCAGGAAGGCATCTTATTCGTAGTTTTTATTTGACTGGTCATACTCAAGGTGTAAAGTGCAATTTTAAAGTGCAAGAACGCCTTATGAACTTGACCACCTGTTCTTCCGTTCCAAATCGAATTGAAATTTGGAATACCCTGAGAAAAACTTCAGCCTTTCCTTTTTCATTTTGCTAGCAGCGAGGAACGAGGGGAAACGGCTGCATTCGTGGGCTAGACACCGAGACATACAGCACGTTGCCATATCAATTTTTAACTTCACGTGTGAAATTAAAATTTAACGCTGAAATTTCGCGCCAAAATTAAGGAGGAATTTGTCGCCCATACATACATTTTTTCTTAATATGAAAGTCAAAGTTTTGTCATTTTACTTAAATTTATGATCGAGTCATACGACTTTAGCTTTTCTTTGAACATGTGAATAATGTCTGAGTGGCCCTTCATTGTTTCAATTAACAGGAGTTTTACATGAGTGGGTTTAATGACGAAGCTAAAACTGAAGTTGAAATCATGTGGACAAACCAACACGGGACCGGAAAAAAGGCAGATCACTTTGTAGAGTCACAGGTGATTCTACAGTATATGTGTCAAGAATTTTCTGATGGAGAGGTGCCCTTAGCGAATATCAACACACAGTTTGAGTACCACACTATTCGTAATGGGGGAACTTCTAGCACGCAAACATTTAGAGCCAACCAAAGAGAAAGTTCTGATGTTAAATTGACTCTTGGACTTCACGAACCGTACAATTATTACCAGTCGTATCTCCGCCGCGAGCGAAACAAAGGTAGGACGTTCTATATACGTCTGGAGGGTACTCAACAAAGCCTTATAAAGGGAGGCTCCGCCCCAAGATCCAACCCTTACCCTTTTACCTGTATAAACCCTTTTTGACAGAAAAGTATCCTGTTCCAGGCTCTCAGATAGTGGGGAAGACGCGAAAGAAAAAGGCACGCGAACAGTTGGAGGGGCGGGAAAAAGGAAAAGGCCGCCCCTTCTCTCCCCAGTTTCCTCCCCGTTTTATTTTCGTGTTTGCGCTTTCTCAATTTAGCGGACCCGACTATCTCGGAGCCTGGAACAGGCTAACAGAAAAGGTACTCCTTTCGTAATTACCTTCTATTGGAAAATGGTAGCCCTTTCCCATACCTAGCAGGGGTTTCAATAAGCACCGACAACCGACGAAACGCGTCGGCTACTTTACTCAGAGCAGTCGGCTACTTTTCTCCCCGAAAAAGAAGCAAGTAGTTTTAAAAATATCGTAAACAAAAATAAATCATTAAATCTGAATTAAAACGTAAGTTAATTATGATCTGCTTTCAAGGTCCACTGACATGTTATGCTTTAGTTATACCAGAAGCGCTTCTGGTTACACAAACGCGGTATTTCAGTCAATTTTTCCCACGTTTCTTTGTGGTCCACGCAGAATTTGTTTATAAACAAATGTACTTAATTTTGAATAGTGACATTTGTTCATTGCTTGTAAGAATTGATCGTGTGGCTTTGAAACGTGAATGAAAGTTATATTTTCTTGAATGAGAATTAAGAAACACAGTCTTTTGTTCTCAATTTATAAACTTTCCAAACATTTTCTGGGGAGCACGCCCCCAGACGCCCCTAGAAGAAGGGGACTACGCTACGGCCCCCTCTTTGATACAGTCGGTTACTCTATTCAAACCTGCCGGCTACTTCAATTATTATTGAAACCCCTACCTAGTTTAGAACTTTTCATTCTTTTTAAGCAAATGAACTGCCTCTTAAATAGGAATAAATCCCCCCAAAACATAAGCATTTCTGTTAGCCCTTTTGGGCTAAAATGAAAGATTTCCCTACCTTCAACTAGTTAAATTCTTAACCTTTTATACAGCTGAAGTCTTAAAAGAGGGTATATACACTCAGAATTGTGGGTGTTGAAACACTTGTAGTCTTCACTAAGGCTTGTTCGCATAAAGCTTTTTTTTTTCATGAAGCGCGCGAATTTTCCTTTGTGCCAAGTCTGAGGAACTTTCTATGGTCGCCTTGGGTTTTCAGTACCTGTTTATCGGCATTTGGCATATTTCATTTGGTGTAGCTCATTTGGACCATAATGTGTTTTGTTCCACAGGTTTGTTTACCGCTGACCAACAGCTTAAAGGTAATTCACCAATCTACACGAGGCAAAATAAAGCCGGAACAAGGAGGGGATATGAGGTTCCTGAGGAACGTGATTACTATCCATACTGGGGCCCCAGCCCTTGGAAGGACATTGCCATCATGGTCAGCGATGAGAAGACCCTGGATTTGATGAAGAAGCATGTTAACAGCTCTCAATATGGCTACAAATGTGAGTCTTGCGTGAGTGTATTCTAGTTAAGATTTCACATAGAAATATCAAGGGAGGATTCATTAAGAGTTGGAACTACAGCCGATGAATCTGTCTCTGCAACGGACAAAAAACCTTGCAGCGAGTTGTCCGTGACATGACGGCGAAGGTAGTGAAAACGTCTCTGATAAATCTAATGTTCACTTGAGTTTTAGCTGATCCAATAACGGTACCCTATCTAAAGAGCACACCGGGAACACAACGTCAACAAGGGCAAAAATGATACCCTATTTAAGGATGGAGGCCCTGAAAAAACTATACCCTGTCGGGCGGCACATACCTATCCAGCCCATACATGGGAGTACTCCCCCGTGTAGCTAGAATACACCCACAAAATTGTGTGTTTCTTTATCAAATTACGTCATACAGATCTGTGCATCATGCGGAGCAAATCAAGTGATCAATGCCCCAAAAAGAATGATGGCCTCCCTGGAGAAAAATGCGTTGCTAAATATCTCACCGCAGAGGCATGTAAGAAGGCTGGTGGGAAGTGGACACGATTTATCACAAACGTTATGGAGAGAACGCGTGGCGTCCTAAGCACGTGCCATGGAGTCGACGGAATGAAGCTGAAGAGAGGCGTTCCGTATGAACCACATAAGGTCTCACAAGGTGGAGATCTACTGGAGCAGTATGTCCTTGTTCAGAAGCCACCCGAAGTTTTGTATGCGCCTTCCACTTATATCAACCACAATGGAGTAGGCCGCGATGGGAAATTTACTTCATACAAATGGAAAGTCCCCTTATTTCCTTCCAACGTAACACAACGCTGCGTGTTACGTATAAGGTTAGATTCAGTAAAATCATAGTGATGGGATTTTCCTAAACTCTGAAATAGAGCCAAATTTTGTATAAAAACAAGTAGTCGTTTATGTTGTTAAGACATGACGCAGCGACAAATTTGCGTTCAGTAGATACACAGGAACATGAAGATCCACACATGTCCATTATACACAAACGGATACGATTCGTCAAACCGATTGTCCATTGCTACCAATGGCCGACGGTTGGTACCAATAGAAGATGATGTCAGCCCAGTGGTTCTATCGGTGAATATGCATCTCATGATAGTAATGACAGAGTGATTTACTAGACATGGAATGGAACCAAATATTATACCTTAAACCTCCCACTTATAAGCTCCCACGATATAGGCCCATCTACCTCTTCCATCTACAGGAAATTACATCCGGTTTTAAACCCCCCCTCTAGCTTGTAGTGGAATGAATTCGATTTTTTACGACGTTTTAAAGGTTTAAGAAGCGAACAGATTCAAAAAGTATTTTGATAAGCACTGTTATGTAGCTTGTTTTTGTTTTGAAACGCTCTTTTTAGTGCGGTTAGGAGCTCTTCAAATATAAGCCCCCCGTTTATAAGCTCTTCTAAAACCCCTTACGAAGTTGTATAAGCCCAAAGCTTTTATAGCGGCAGTTTACGGTATGACAGCCTGTCGTCGTGTATGTTGCGGAAATGGTCGCGGCGACAAATTTACGTTGAGACATGAAGCATGGGTTCGAAACAGTCTTGGAACACTGATCTCGCTTTGCAGTCAGCAGTGCACAAACACATTCAAACAATTCAGGAACACTTTCTCACGGTTATTAGCGCCTTTTTAGCAATTTGTGCCCATGACATGCCCAGTGTTCGTGCGACATGTCGTAGCGAAAAAAATTGCCCGAAAATTAGCATGTTGCACAAATTAAAACGTGTAGGCGTGTGTGGCCGAGCGGTAAACACCTCGAACTCTGGATCTGGAGGTCTGGGGTTCAAGCCTCACCGGTCGCGTTGTTTCCTTAGACAAGGAACTTTACTTCACTTAGTCTCTCTTCACCCAGGTGTATAAATTGGTACCGACGACATACTGCTGGGGGGTAACCATGTAACGGACTAGCAAGCCGTCCAGGGGGGAGTAGCAATACTCCTAGGTACTTCATGCTACCGAAACCGCCATAAGCTCCGGCCGTTTGGGCCTTTGGCTCGTTTGCGCATTTACCTTACCTTATACTCATTCAATGATTTGTTAACTCAAAGCTAATCTGTGTCTGTAGCAGGAAACTATAAAGGGATTTGTCTCCCATCTGCGCCGCGCATGTTCTCCGGCTCATATGGCAAGGGCAGTAGACTGGATACCTTTAAGGCTCTGTCCACGCTTATCCTTTTTCCTTTGAAAACGCACTCATTTCGATGCATTTAGGCCTTACTGTAGAAAACTTATCAAATGAAAAAGATGACTGAAAATATCGCAGGGGCGTTTGTTTCTACTCACATGCACAGAGTTCAACTGACGTCACAACGTGCAGTTCTACCGTTGTCGAACGTTGTAGTGTTGAAAGTCGAAAAGGCATCAAAACGTTAGTGTGGACGGGAATCGATGTGTTTTTGATGGAAACGAAAACGCATCCTTTTGAAAACGCATTCTTTTTTTTGTCGACAGGGCCTAAATCCCTCTCTAGCTCCGTTTGCTGTTATCATGTCCAGTGCGGCATTGTGTTCTTTCCTTTTGCGGTGTATTTGTCCATAGGAAATATCAATTTCATTTTTATTGTAGATATAACATCACCAGTGACGATGTTCCACGCGAATTTGATGCCAGTGATAACGATAAGTAAGTGAAAATTACATGGGAAATAATAAATTAGAAAGATACAGCTTTACTTAGTACTAATGTTGTTAATTTAGTGTATCAGGAGAGATTCAACAAACCATGGAGGTGCAGGACACTTAGTCATTAGCCCGTTCCAAGATAAAGATGGTAGAGAAATACAAGCCCTCTACTATCTGAACGCCTGGAATGGGCTACTTATATTTTAGTCATCTGTACGGCTAAAAAAGAGAACAACATTCGGAATGAAAAATAGTTAAAAAAAATTGACGTTATTTCGACTGATCAGCTCCTGTAATCACAAAACTTAAAACATTCAAATCGTATTCAGCACTTTAATCGATATGCAACTCCCTCCTGTTTTCTATGGGAAAAGCTCTGAGGGCTACGTCGATTAATATGGCGGCCGGCATATCGGTGTTTAACAATCTAATTTCCCGATAGTAAAAACTTTTGTGCTGCTTTTCAACAGTTGTATTCGTGATACTATTTGACGAACACTTTTTTAACCCACGTCCTGATTATGCAAACTGAGGTTCGAAAGAAAAAGTTGGATGTTTCCAGCTGAAAAACCATGTTATTTGTGAGGATTCGTATCAACGCTAAAAATAATTCACGCAATACAGAAGAATAAAGAACAGTCTAAGCCTTAATTCATGGTAATTGTTCCATGTGGTTTTGCCTAGCTCCAAAACAGTAATGTTGCCTCTCACCCATCCACTGCTTTCTTTTTTTTTTTAATTAGAATCCGTCACTGTGGTGCACAAATTCTTCCCAGCACACACCGTAATTTGATGACCGTTATTGAAATTGAAACGTGTATCACGATCTCGCCTTTCCTTCTCAACTCACACCTCACCTATCCTCTTCGTGCCTGGTGGCACATAAGGCCTTCACCGAGTCCCGCCATTTATCTCGGTTAGCCGCAATGGTCTTCACTTCCTTTCAAGACTGCCATTCTGCTTCTGCTCTTTCTTTTTCGACCGTTCGCCTCCAGGTGGTTTTTGGTCTTCCTCTTCTTCTTTTTCCTTCTGGTGCCCTCTCTAGCTACCTGCACAATGTTACCATTAACTTCTGTACAGTGTACGTGTTCATGATGTTTTTGAGGTGTATCAGAGGCCTATTCAGCTCGGTGGCCTCCTGTTGGCTTTGGCTTTCGCGCATCATATAGTCACTCCTGTTGAGAGGACCGGCCACAGTCTTCCCTTGATAAAGTGAATTTTCTCTACTTTTGGTTTTGTAATAACAGGGTTTAAAGGGAGAGCCGGGTTATCAGCCCTCAGCCCAACCCCCAACCTGGAGGCACAGTGGATCACACTTAGTCTGGTCTCTATCCTTCAACCTGTTCGGCATGGGTGGCCCTTAACAAGGAGTCAATCACTCCAGCCGACGTAGCTCTATGGGTCATTCAGACTCGCAAACCACTCCATGGTATGGTGGTGGTCCCTCTGGAGCAATGCCGTTCCCTCTACTCGCGTTTAAACTACTCACAAAAATTCCCCGCTGCGCATTTTGTTGTACAGATCTTATTGTCTGTGGCAAAAAATAATCTTTTGTCTTTTAGAGTTAAGAACAACCCGAAAACTAAAGCTACTGATGGCCAAACAGAACTTCAGCTTGCCTTGAACACCGCCCAGGTTGGACGAACATTCCAAGACAGAACTCACGTATTCCTGCTGAAACCACGGAGCGTTCTCTCTGAAAAATATCAGAAATCCACTATAAAGTACATTCATGGGATGGGAAAGAGAGGCAACATTGTACAGGCGTATCCTTCCATGGAGTATCGCTTTTTTCCTGAACTGCTACGTGTTACAACAGACGATGTGGTGTGTTTCGTCTGGTCTGGTAAGTGACTACGGCTGAATGATCAAATCAAAAAAGCTATATCTTTAATGGAAACCTCAGAATATTCAACGTTACTTAGGTTTAGTTAGACTACGTTTTTAGTCCCTGGGTTACTCCCTGTAGTGGCCTAGAGGCGGAGGCACTGTTCGAAAGGGGTACCTTTTTCAAGCGTTTCAGGTTTTTAAAAGAGTAGGGAATGTGGTGCATTAACAGCAGTTTTGAAAGTGGAACCATGTGTCAATAGAACGAATAAAGGGGTATAACCTTTTTTGTGAAAAATGGCACATAAAAAGGTAATTAAACGTCGGACCTCAGGGTGGACCCTCTCCTTACAAAATCTTTGTTCAGTGCCTTCCTGGGGGTTTAAGTAACGGGCCATAGAGACCTGTTTTTTTTATTTATTTAATTTCCTTTTTTTCAGGTTCAAACCATAATCCCAGGGGCCGTGCCGGCCAAGGGACAGATCGTAAGTTACTTGTCTGTCCTATCTTGTTGTTTCTAGTAATTGTACTAGGCCTTAATTTTCGCGATTACAAAACCACGAAGTTAACGACACGAGTTAACGATCTAAGCATGTTTGGAAGAATGACGCCAGTACAAATGTAGTTGCAACAATTTATTCCGTGAATGTTTCGTTGAATGAAAGTGAGAATCGGCTCGGTATCTGACTACAGATGACTTGCTTTCCTCGGACCTTTCTTTTCCACAGAGGCTCCCGCTGGGTCGCAAAAATGTTTTCCTTCCCATCTTCCCCGCGCGCTTTCTTTTTACCCTCTCTCCAGCCTTCACACGACACAAAGAGGCCTCTGCAGTGGAGGGGGACTAAAAACTAAAATAAAAATCATTGTTTTCGAAAACATGTATTAAATCAAGCCGTTGCCGTCCATACTCCAGACATTGACAATTTCCAGCTGACTCAGTGTTAATAAACTCTTTCTTTTGACTTCTGAGAAAAATCGAAGCAAATGATGGGTATTCCCACCCCTTTCACATGAGCCCCCCCCCCCATTTCTTGACAATTCTTCTAAGTGCCCTTTGATCGGTTAGTCACATTATACTCGAAATTTTAATCTTCATGCTTTTGAGCGTCACCCTAAACATAATAGTATTACATGTACACCGAAAGTTTCTGTCGCTAGAACATTATGCTCAATTAATTCTGGACAAATTTTTGCCCTTTTGCTGCCCCTTACCCTGCCCAAACAAATTACCTCTATAGTAGGTTAACAAGACGTTTTAAGGTTTTTGGTACAATGCACGCGGCAAAAACAAGTTCTCAATGGCCCTTAATGTGTTAGGAACCTGGCTTTATGCCGATAGCCAAGCCTTGAAATGAGTTTTATACTGAAAGAAAGCTGTTGTAAAGAAAATTTGAGACATTTTTGTCATAGGCTTTTTTTTATTTTTTATTGAATTTAATGTATCATTATGCTAAAAATGCCCACTATACTGGCATCATGCTTGATGCTCTAACTCATGTCCAAAAACATGGCGGTATAATGTTATAAACCTTTTAGTTACTTTTGATGTCCGTATTAAGGAGGTTTCAGCACTGTTTAATTTGTAAGACGTAACTAAGATTAAATATTTGATGTGGAACAGTGGGCCTATGAGCGTCTTTGTTTGCAAATTAGAAACGGATCGCACCAACGTATGCTGGGTGGAGGAAGGATGTAGTTCCCTAAAACCTCCTACTTGCTCAAGCTTGCTTCTTGATGTGGTTGATCATGTGAATAAATTTGACAGCGAAAAGTTGAATCTACACCTCAACAAAGGCTGTTACACTGGTTCCGCCTCACTGAACGCTGAGCTTAATAATGCACCAGCTTCCTGTAATCCACCATGTTTCCGCATCATGTTGCCTGGGGAATACTGTTACATGGGCACGCGCAATAATAACTTCTCTAATCGTCGTCACATGGGAAAAGTCATTGTGACCCAAGGCACCGTTTTTCCAAAGCTAGATTACGGGGGCAAGTCATACCCAGGGAAATCGTGTAAAGATATCAAAGATATCAGGGACAAATTGAAAGAAAAACGTACGAATGGAATCTACTGGATTACGCTGAAACACAAAGGTTAGTTGGGCTATACTGAGTTGATCTGTGTCTCAAAGTTATTGTTTCTGAGATGTAATTGTTCGATGAACAAACCTTTAAACTGCATCAACTCGGTTTTAAGTTGGTCAGCACTACTTATTACTCTTAATTGAGGGGGTAGGTACAGGAGGGTAAATATCCCTCCTCCCTACTTTTTCAGCCAATTTCTCTTTCCTCCCTACTCTTTGGGGCAATTTCTCTCTCCTCCCTAAACTTGGTTTAAAAATTGGCGGCGGGCAACACACAACTCCTGCACTTAGTCGTAAGGTGAGTTTTCTGACCTTCAGAGCTTTGCCTCTATACCAACATACGGCACGAAGATTGCGTAACCACCATATGTTATGCATACGCAGATTTTTATGGAGAAAAAGCCCTTTGGGGTACTCTAGGGAATTCTTGTTGGGAGTGTGCCGCCCGGATCTCCAAATTCTGACCCTATTTCAGACCAAGAAATCTCGTTATTCACGCCCGTTTTCAGACCTAGCCTCTAAGAAATATAGTGTCATCATTACCTTAATAATTCGATTTAGCGCCTGGCCTTCCAATAAGCGCCCCCCTTATAGTGTGTTTTTGTTAATAAGCGCCCCTTGTCTATTAGGCGCCCCCATTCCAATAAGTGCCTCCATTCTTAATATATAGATTTAGCCAGGGCTAAAGGCGAGGCTCCCATTAATAAATTTATAATTTAAATCAAACGATAAACTTGTATTCCACAATTCAGTTAACTTTAGAGCTCATTCATGCGACTTTTCAGGGAAAGGCTAAGTGATTTTAGAAAAAAATAATTTGCACACTGCCCAAGAGTGAACCAAATCTTACATCGGTTTGATAGCCTCATATATACACCCAAAAACTGGCAATCATCTTCGATCACATTTATTAAGAGCCATAATGGCTCTTGATCACCGTAGATTAATTAGGCCTGGAAAAAAATTCCGGCCAAATTTTTTGCGTTCGACAAGTTTACTTTACAAAATCTTGCCAACAAATCTGGGTGCGTGTAAACCAACCTTTTATATCATTTATACATCACATTTGCGGTGAAACAGTACTACGAGGCACTGTTTTTATCATACAGACCTCGGACAACAGAATGCAGTATTGACAATTTTGCGATACAAATTGCAGTCATTCAATGTTCAGGACGATCGAAGCACGCGTGGGTTTTAGCTAAACCGTTCAAAAAAATTTAAAATCACCTATACGGCCAGCCGGTTCTGACTTTTGCAGTGCTATCAGTGGCGAGTGTTTGAATGAACATTAACAGAGTTACGCTCCAACATAATAAAGAATGTATCATGTTTATTTTTTATTTTAAAACGGTTTAACGCACGGCATTTTCAGTACTCCGGGAAACGTTGTTCACTGAACGACTGAAAACAATCGGCACAGCGATTAAAATTACAAGAGAGACTACTAACAATCAATAAACGAAATATAATTCGGTGAAACATATACAGAGACCACAGTTTTCATTCAAGAAGACAAGTATTAAAGTGTCTCTAAAAATCCCGAGTCTTCGAGCTTAAAGCTGAAGTTTATCTTTTAAGCCGGCTTCCCGGTGTTTGCTTTTTTCAAAGACGAACTCGAGGCAAGAAAATCGCTCAAACCTTTCTTGTACAGCCAGAATTATAACTAAATATTCTTAGAAACGTTTCCTTTCTATTTGCGGTGAGAAAATGTCTAAAGGCTTTTTAAAGATCTGCAAGCTTATAACAAACCTGATACTCGGTCAGATCATTGTCTCAAATCTTACAAACGTGCGTAAACAAAATAGCGGCATAAACTACGCTCGACATCATTAAATTAGAAATAAAAAACAAACATCAAATACAATGATTACTCAGGCTTACCACTCGAGATGCAGCTCCTGAAAGGTATCAATTAAGGCCAGTATTGCTGGTTTGCACGTGACGTCACGGCGGCCATGTTGGTGGTCAAGAACAAAAGCATTTCTCTCCTCTGGGAACTAAACTCTATTTTCATGAAAATTCTTCGAGGAAATATTCTTTTGTTTTGACCCCCAACATGGCTGTCTTGTCACGTGGTTGCAAACCAAGAATCAACTTCAGACTTTGCAACCCTCTTACCCATTAAGCAAGGTGAAAACGAAAACGATGCCATCCGAAATCGGATTTCCGACTTTGACTCAACCAAAACCAAATAAACAAACTAGCCATGAATAACAGAAGACTCCTGATAGCAGCTGAATTTCATTTTGTACATCCAGTGGAAAAAGACCGTTAAAAACATCACAAGTTGACACAAAACTGTGTCAGCTTCAGCTGTCACAGCAAACAAGATTCAAGATGCTGCATACATTTTCCGCATGAACTTACCTGTCAAATTTTGACCAATCAGAGCATAAAAATTGGACGTAGAGCGTGACCAACGCGTGAATATGGTTAGAAAAGCAAAAAGCAACTGTCTTCCCTGCCTGAAGCAGCTGGCTGAATTTTTGCGTCCAAGGTCAGTTTGAAATCAAAATTTTAATTGTGCGGCACATAAACACAACATATTTCATATGAATTTACTTCATTTGAAAACCAGTACCTTGTCAGCGGATAACTTCAAAAAAAATACTTGAACTCGATGGGTCGACGACACCTGAGCCCGCGATACGGTCAAGTGATACTGGTCAGCGGATACCTTGTTTTGACAGCTATCAATTGACCACAACATTGATGTCCAATATGAGTGTCAGTTTTCCTGTGCTCCGATCCCAAACTAGCTAGAAAGTATGAGATTGAACATTGATCGCGATCTAGTAAAATAATTAACTGGTCAGCGGACAGCTTCCAAATAAATCACGTCACCTCAATAAGTTGACACATGAGCCGGCAATATGGTCATGAGATGCTGGTCAGTGGCTATCCTGCTTTAGCTGTCAATTGACCACATTGTGAATGTCTAATGTAAAAGATGTGGACTTGCCAAGACACGCCTGAGACACCCCTCTCTTCCTTTTGATAGTCTCCCCTACCCCGTCCTTACAATCCGTAGACGCGTACGTACGTACGTACGCTCGGTCAATCACGTGACAACCAAACGAAAAGAGGTTGATCATATTCCATGAGTATGGGGCTCGCGAAGCGCGCGTGGGAGCCCCACTATAAGCGACCCCGTTCTATTAAGCTCCCGTAATCTAATATTACAATATTAGAGTACGGGTATGTATCAACCGAGGTTCATTTTCCTTTAATTGCTCACAAACGTACAAAACAAGGATCCTTTCGACGGGATCATCGAATCGGACATCGAAGAAGGCACACTGAGCTCGAGAAAGCTTTTATTTACGGTATTGATGTAAGTGACACTGACAAAGATATCGGCGTAGAAGGAGATCAAAATTCCCTCACGTTTACCGAAAATTACATATACCTGGATTTTTGAAAACCTGGTTAGCAAAAATATCAACTCATTCTACTACTTGGCAATTTAAAACAACAAAACTCGTTCAAAGGCCGATAAAAAGCCTCTATCTGACGCCGGGCAGTAAGTTCATGGTCCCTAGAAGCATTCAAACGACTCCAAATTTAAAATGACGCAAATTTTAGAACATTTATTCAGTAAACTGACTTCGCGAAGTTTCAAACCGGTGTCATTTCAGTCTAGAAATTTTTAACTTGAGTGAGCTGCAGTGAAAGAGTGCCTGGTCAAGGCTTGCATAACAACTTAAATGGTTAGCAAAACACTACTTTTTTCGCGATTGGATAAGCAACAGGATTCCGCATGGAACAGACAACTAAATGAAACGTAGTGCACAAATTATCACTTTCTTATCTTCAAAAATCGGCCTATGGTTCAATGCCATAAGAGCCCGCTGAAACCAGACCCAGATCCAATTTTCCTGAGTCGAGAGTCGCTTTTCCAAGGTACAATCAGCTAAGCTAAACACCGACGAAACAATATTGATGGCTGGCACAGAATATTTTGGCCAAACCGCAGTTCAACCACGCGATCACATACCTGTCAACACCATGCGGAAATCATACAATCACACACTTTCGCGGCACTGATAAGACTATCCACGACCACGCATAACACAAATCCCTAACCACAAAACAAGCAAAAAAAGAAAAAAACGACATAAGCAAACAACGCAGTAAACAAGCTATTAGACAGGGAAAGTTAAGAAAAATTACAAAATGTTTGCTAACCCGGTTTCATAACTCCAGGTATACATATTTGTTATTGTTACAGCTTCTGTTATTGTTCCGTTTTCAAAAAACATTAAAGTTTTCTTTTGAGCATTTGGTTGTTTCTCAAAAGAGAAATAAGCGCCCTCCCTTGATCAGCAGGTACCAAAAGTAAATATTAAGCGCCCCGGGCGCCAAATCGAGTCAAAATCCATTTCGAATTTGCATATTTTTCCTTCTGTCTTAGTCATTTGAAACTGAAAGGATAAATACGTTCATACACTCCCGTAGTTCCCTCGAACCACCATACCCGACAGGTGGCTTGATTAAAGTAGGAACAACAACAATCTGGAAGATTCCTGATAGTGCCCACAAATCCCTGCCCCCTTGCTCTGCGATTAAAGTTCAACCGGCAAACTTGTTATTCTTTTTGGAGATTTGTTAAGGCTCGGAAAATCGGCGTGAGATTTTTTGGGGGTTAATTTTTAGTCAAGGGATTTTTTGTGGGTTTTGTTGAAAGCCCTAGGGATTTCTTCGGGTTTTGGTTTTTAGCCCCATTCGAGCTTTCCTGTCCCTTGAAATCCGGAGTATCCCCCCTGGGCAAAAAACCCGTCCCTTTGGGGCGGCAGATGCCTAGGCTTATATATGGGACTAACCCCCCCTTAGGAGGAAAGCCTCTATACCTACCAAGTATTTAAGATAAATACTCTAACTTATATTGACAGAGAACGCGTTTCAATTTTGCAGTATGGGAACAAAGATAGGTTTTGTTTTTGCAAACACATTACAAACCAACAGAAACTTTTCAGTACACGAAGTTCTTCTCATGTCACGCAACAGATGTGAAGAAAGGCTTCATTAAAGGAGAAGCGCGCCGGCTTCTAAGGATTCCTCTCAAACCACTTTTGAGAAAAATATCCAAAAATTTCGAAAATCGCCCGATAGAAAGAGGCTACCCTTGCCTTTATTGTCAGAAAGTACCTCTACGAGGTAAATCTCGCCGACAGGAAGACAGCTCCTTAACAGAGAAACAAATCCGCCCTTAAAAAACACTATCTTTCGTTACACAAAGTCAATACCAGTCAGCGTAACTTAGCCTAACGAAAATACTAGTGGGGAAATTGCACCTTATACAAAACCAACAACAGCTAATAGAAATCTTAAAGGAGCCTCCCCTCATAACATATCACAAGCGAAATACACTGAGGAATTATTTGTTAGAGCGAAGCTCTGAAGGTCAGATTACGACCAAGTGTATGCGTCTTGTGTTGCCCGTCGCCAATTTTTAAACCTGGTAACCTGAGATGTGTCAAGTTTGATTCCATGCTTTCTCGGTTAAGTCCTACCAAGGGAGTCAAAGGAGAGTCAGACCAAAGGGGATTGCAGTGTATGTCAATTTTTCTACCCCCACATCCCTTGTCATCACGCAAGTTCAAAAAAATCCCTAAAATTACCTTCTCATCGATATCTCCCTACTCCCACAACATTTCATTTTCTCCCTCCTCCCTACATTTTCGTCCCGATTTCTCCCTCCTCCCTATTGTGTACCTCCCCCCTCTTAATTCTGGTAAAATTCGTATCTGTGTCCATTCAGTCTGTAAATCTACCTATCCATTTTCATTATTAATTTACAGATTTGTTCCTCAAAACGTGGCACATAAGTTTTGTTTGTCGGGTGTTGCATAAAAAATAACAACAACAACAAACAAAACAAAATTATATAAGCATCACATCAACGGAAGCCAAACAATGCAAATGATATTTTGTTCGCTGACACTGTAAGTCAATAAAGTGATGAATATATGAATTTCATATATTTGAACCGCGAAATGCAGAAATAAACGAAGAGAAGATCATCGCAGTTAAAGACGCAACTCAATGCAGTTGCGAAAAGAAAGCCTTGAAAAATTTCAGGCTTGTCGAGATTCGAACTCTGACCTCTGCCATACCGGAAATGTTAAACTCAACTTACAAGCGTCGCTTCCAGGATTTCGAACTTGGCTGGGCCACAGTTGTGGGAGGCATTCTCACTACTTCACCACCTTGCGCATGCCTCCCTTCTATTTAACTGAAAAGTTTACGATTGTTCGGCGTTGTATTACTTTACCCTCTGTGTATAGCATGTTCAAACCCACTGGGAATGGAGAAGGGAAGCATAACCAATGCCCAGATCACAGCTTCCACCCAACATCACAGTCCATACCGATCTTACCATGCCAGACTGAATTCCAACCATGGCTCGTGGGTTCCCAGAACTAATAACGGTCATCAGTGGCTGCAAGTGGATCTTGGTAAGAAAACCGAGGTGACAGGAATAAAGACCCAGGGACGATATAACGCGCATCAATGGGTTAAAAGTTACCGTGTATCCTACAGCAACGACGGCTCCACCTTCCAAATCTATAAGGAAAACAATAAAGTTAAGGTATGTATTCAACTGAAAATCATTGCAAGAGCAATTAAGTCAGCCAATTATCGTAAATGCTCGATCACCGGCTTCCCCTTCTAGTAAACAGCTCTCCGTTAAAGAAAGAACAAAACGGAGATTGTGTTTCACGTTACACGGCCTGTTTGACACCTGTACATGATTATTTATAGTAAAACAGAGGTTTTGAAAAGATCGTTGGTAAGATAACTAAAAATAAGTAACATCATGACTTAAAGGTGAATTGCAAATTTGTACCAAACTCATTTTAAAATTTGTGTTTTTACTATTGACACTGATACGTTAAAAGTCACTTGAAATACCGGTGCATTCGCCTTAATTAGAATATTAACGAAATAAGTGCCCCCTCTCGCATCAGAAAATCAAAGAAGCACCCCCGACGCTAATCACTCATTCCCAGTTAAAGTAGCCAATGAGATCTGCAAAATCGAGCAAAATATGTCTTCATGATTTTGATTTTGATTTCAGTAACACAAAGCTACAGTACTTGTAGTCGTTGCATCTTAAAAAAAATTCCATGTTATCTTAAGTACTTACGAAGTTATCGCATTTTTAGTATTGCTATCTCAGTTTGAAAAAAATAATCGAGATTTTGCACGAATATCAGGGTATTATTTAGCAATTAATAAATTCGGCTTTCGTAGATATGAAGAATTAAGCAGATCGAGGAGGGCGAGATCTGAGTTGCTTAATTCTTCATATTCTACGAAAGCCGAATTCATTAATTGCTTTATTATTCATTCAAAATAATTCCTATTTAAAAACATAGCTAAAACATGCTTACCAGCATCGATGTTAAGTTTATCTTCGATAATGTACGTTTAGGTTTGTCCAGCTCCGCAAGTATTCTCCAAATAGACCTTTAAATTGCATGCCGCGCGGGGACTGGCCACTGGAGGTATACGTCCGCCATATTGAATAGCACAAAAAAATCATTGTTTCCTTTGTTCTTGATCGGCTGCCAGAAATGTCAGCCAATAGTGAAGAAGTTTGCAAAACATTAACCAAAAAGTGCCTGGAGGAGTTTATCAAGGAGAAAAAATCAGATCAGAGGGCTCAGGCATTTTTTGTAGAAGATTATGTTCACGATCTTTTCGTCACGTTTCAAGAAGATGAATGCTGTGTATTGAAAGGAAAATGTTTTCGATCGATGTCTAAGTCGGAGAAGCCACACGAAATGAAAATGATCTTGGAATTTAGCGATTCAGGATCGAACATTGTCTTTAGAAGATGTTCTTGCAAAGCCGGACAGGGACATTGTCATCATCTCTCGGCTTTAGCCTACGCAGTGTTAAGTTCTTTGAAAGAGAGTGATGTTGCTTCTGCTTGTACTTCAAAGCTCCAGCAATGGCATGTTCCAAGAGGTGCTAAAATAAACCCGCAACCCTGGATGCAGCTAAATTTTTCGAAACCATCGGTGGGAAAGGAGACAAGAAGAGATGCATCGCTCTGCCTTTACGATCCAACTTCTCTAAAGAGAAAGGATCCGGAGTGTAGGAAAGAAATATTTAAGAGTGATTTTCTGTAAAATTCGAACTTCGGCCTGACACGGTACCTCATCGATTTGGCTGATTTTTGGCATGTAGTCTTAGAATGGTGTCCTAAATACTGAATGCATATTCTAAGGTTCGAATTCTCGTTGGTTTCAAAGATACAGGAATGACAGTTTTGACGAGGCCTCGGGCGGCCGCCATGTTGCTGAACTGAAGGAGATTTACAGTAATTAATTCTAGCCTTATCATTAAAATAACTTAGTCGTGACTCATACAGTTGCAAAGAACTATCCTTCCTCCTTTCATTTACCTACTCTTATCTGAAAATGGTTAAGCCTGAGCTACGAACGGCTATAACTTCTCACAGCACTTTTTCGGTACTTAAACGGTACACAAATTTGGTAGAAATTGGAAGGCCAATATCACCCATGCCACATCGATTTGGACTAAGCCATTTTAACTAAACATAGTTTGTTTATAGCTAAGTTAGATTGTTGAATAAAATAATTGGGCAAATGCAACGGAACAGAAATATGATTGCATGAATGCGCAGTGGTTCAGCCACTTGGCCGCTAAAACTTCAAAACAAAATTCGGTGAATATTTGAAAAGAAAATTCTTTAAAAATTAATCGTGCCTCTTAAACCCTATCTATCGCTTAAAAAACCCTCCCTTGTAATGTAAACAGATGATCTTTTGATTCTGATCTTGAGAAGAGCTTGAAATATGCGCTAAAATGAAAATTATAAATTTTGTTACACACGGTACTAGCTCAAGTTCGCTCTTCGATTTCCCAGACCAATCGGGAGCCGCTCGTGTACTGCACAGTTACAATTTTCTCTGTAGTATTTCGCTGTATACAGCTACAAATTACATGTTTTCTTAGGCAATGATAACGCAAACGTTGTCAATTTTAATCAAAAGGCTAGAAAACCCAACCGTGCACTGTAGCTTTATGCAAATTGTATGGTATTCGATAATTGCACGTGTAAACAGGAACCTACCTTTGCTAATGTACACTGTTTGGCAGATCTTTCCAGCGTAAGATATAAAACTAGTACATGAAATGAAATTAAAGAACTCATCAAGTCAAATTACCTGATCGTACCGTCATTACTGAATAATAAGTCCGCAAAATATGACATGGAATGATCGGTGGGAGACGAAGCTATTTTTAGGAGGACAAGGAACTGCACGCTGGAACGGAACTGAAATGAACAACCTCAATCAAGTTCAGTCTTCTTGACGCTATTAAACGTTTCACCCGAATTTGAACAGGAAGTTGTTTTCTATTTTCTTTCTCATTCTTGCATGTATTCTGCAGTTCGTCCACTATTTTTTCGTAACTTTTAATTTTCTAGCTAACTGGAACTGTTAAGAACTACCAACCCCCCTCCCCCCTCCCCCCTCCCCCTCTTTGAGTGAACTTTCATTCGGTCTGATTCACAACAGGCCCGTAACCAGGGGCGGGGGGGTGCACGGGCACCCTCCCCACAGGCCCCAAAGCTCCGCATTTTGATACTCAATATCCAAGTTAAGGAGTGCAGTCGGTTAAACTGAAGTTTCAAACTTAACAGTGATATTTAAACAAAATCAAAGAATGGAAAAAGCAGTAGTGTATTCACTGGGAAAATAAAACCAGCTGCACTCTAGTAGCCCGAGTCATTCAGAACATTTTAATGAGCGCACAGATGTCCGAGCTTATCTAAATGAAGAATGAAATTAACGCTTAAGGAGTGCGATGATGATCTCTTTCCAAATATATATGCGCTCCTCAAGATATGCGCCACAATCCCTGCAGTGAGCTGTGAATGTGAAAGAAGTGCGAGTTCTTTAAGGCGGCTGCATACATATAACAGGGCATGCATGGGCCAGGAAAGGCTGTCGTCCTTCGCACTAATGCACATACATTATCAAGCTAAAATTGTTTTGGACGAGGTGGTAAATCTGTTTGCCACCAAACACCCACGGAGGCTGGAGCTCGGGACTATTCTGAGGGATTAGTTCCACAGTATTTTGATGTATCATTTTACATCGTAAAATTACTCCTGTATAACTTAATTCAAACAGTTGTATTCGACAAATGTACTATTCAGTTCCTACCATGTACTTTGCTGTTACAATTTCTCATGTATTGCTACTTCCCTAAATAAACGGATGAGACAATAAAAAATACATTTCGGTAGTTTTGTCCACTTTGGCCTCGTTAGCACCCCCCATAAAATCCTGGTTACGGGCCTGCACAATAATTTTCGAACGGTGACAAAGTGATATTTGAAATGACATTTTATTTAGTATTTTTAAAAGCTCCTTCTTTTTTTTCCCGATAGCCAGGAATGTTTTGAACGTAAAGGCTCAAGTGGCGGTGTTTTTCACGACTCTGCTTGTAGACTGACCTCACCACCAGTACCACGGACATAAAATCTGATCGGAGAGGGTCATACAGTAACTGATGGGTCTCTGAAAAGCGAAATGCAGTCACTTGGGGCGAGTAGGCTATATAGATGATGAACTCATTGTTTATAACCCCATAACCGTATCCCAAAAGTCGAGCCAGCCCGGGGCGAGCGAACACAATTTTGGGGCCACTGGCCACGCTCTTATGTTTAGCGGGAAATTGGTTGATTAGTCAAATCTCCTTAACTCCACGACCATGCACCTTTCCAAATATAGCCCTTCTTATCATCATATAGTTAGGGCCTCCCGTAAGCATTTGCAACTATTTTGATTTGTAGAAGACTGTTTAACAGTTTTCATTACTTTAATGTCTCGTAAACAACACGAGGTACATGTTCTGATCTCTCCCTCCCTCCCCCACCACCCCTTCCCCATCCATAACAAAAATTTTCAGACCAACACTGGATTGCATGAAGGTATGTACAAAAAATATGACCATCTCGAGGCAAGGTTCACCACTGTAACTTACCACATAAAAGCCTTTTCGTTGTTTGCCATCGACTGATTCTGTTCTGAATACTAAGGTCCCATAAACAACGCCACGTTTAGAAAGAGCCGCCCTTTTCAATCCAAGAAAACCCAAGTAGCGATTTCACCAACGGACATAAGCCGTAAGAAAAGGACCGCGTCAAATAGTTCATGAAATCACAAACGCCCCATGACACCTTTAATTCACTCTTTCTTCGATAAACTAATTTTTAATTTTTTAAGCATAAATGACATCAGAATGCGCGATTATGAGCATTGTAGCTTATGAAAAGAAAATTTAACACCTGATGCACATGAAAGCGTCTAAGAAGGGGACTAGGGGGAATTAGGAACATTGTGCTTACCGCTGGAAAAATATTGGCTAGTTCTTTGAATAGACTCAATTAAAGCCGTTTTTGTTCAGTGAGGAGCTGTTAGATGGGGGGAAAGCTACATAAAGTAGATCGCATCAGAATACGGCATAGGACTAGGCTCTCAAAATCGATAAGCTGAATGCAAGACCAATTATGATGTAAAACAGAGAAAAATTCCTTGAGGGAAAAAAATTATGGCTAGGGAAAAGACCCGAAGGTGGAAAGTTAGGATGGTAGCTTCTTTTGAGGTAATCGATCATTTACGTTAACTTCCGCTATCCGACGGGCATATCGGAAAGACTGAATGGATGAGAGTATAACACATTCAAGAAGAAACAAATTTGTGATTTTTCACAACTCAATAAAATAACTAAAATTGTGTACTACTCGGTTATACAAGATTTTTGTTTTTAATTTCAGATTTTTACGATGGGGCATTAGCCCCCGTACTCACTAGACACTACTTTACAATCATCGTGTTAAAATCAGTGAAATACTCCAAAACAATTTGGATTCCTACCCTTATACCTTTATTAAAAATTAAAGTTGGGAAGTTTGTTGTTTTGTAAAAGTAGTTTGAACAGCCGAACGACATTTTTTTACACGGAGTGGGGAAGGCAAAGCTTCACTTATCTCTTCTAAGGTAGAAAGTGTCAGCAAAACGTGAGAGTTGTCCTTGAGGGTAAAGTGTCTAACCTAATTTTCTCACCGATTGCAAGTACCATTTCATCTACGCATAACCTCACCTAGTTAGCATAATTAGGAAATGTAGTGGGGAAACCTTGCGAGAGAACTGAGTAAGATGTTAGGGTAAGTTTCGGAAATTTTCCGCACACCTAGAAAGTCCTGGCTACGCTCCTGATAGAGACTTTTGCTGGAGAGAAATTGAAACATGTTCGCTAATATAGTGACGACCAGAAAAGACAAGCCATAGGATAGTTCCAGAAAACCACCCATTAAAATAGATCACGAAGTTGTCGCGGCGGAGGATGAACTTGAAGGCATCTGATGAATTGCAATTTTTCAAGGGAGCCCAGACAAGATTATGTACGATGGGCACAGCTTGTTTGATCTGGAAAATTTAGAGAAGCTCAAGGCAAATCGCTAGACAACACATGCTAGAGCTGAACTAAAAATCTTTTACGCCTTTGAACTCTGTCCCTAAGGGTGAAGGACAAAGTTTCAATTTATCAATGCATTAACCGAGTTGATTATGAATGTCTCCCTATGTTGGACGTCTTACTAACAAGCACATTACCACTACTTAAAACAGAGCTAATGATTATTGGATCAAGACAAAGACTATCTGCCCAATGTGACGATGTAGAAATCAGAATTGATGACCAAATTATTAAGAGAGTCGATCATACCAAATCCTTGGGTATTACCATAGATGCTCAACTCTCTTGGGGTAAACACGTTGAAGAGATTTGCAAGAAAGTCTCTTCAGCTATAGGCGCCCTTTAACGTGTGCGGCCCTTTATATCCAAAGAAACTGCAATTCAAATTTATAACGCTTTAATTATGCCTCATTTTGATTACTGCAGCCCCGTCTGGGACTGTTTGAGTGGTTACTTGAGTGATAAGCTCCAAAAATTACAAAATCGTGCAGCCAGAGTTATTACTAAATTACCCTTTGATGCGAGCTCAAACCACCTTCTCTCCACCCTCAGCTGGGAGAGGCTATATCTTCGACGAAAGAAACAAAAAGCCGTAATGATGTATAAAACCATGAATGACCTTGCTCCAGAATATCTGCAAAGTCTTTTCTCTCAGCGTCACTCTGCTTACAACTTAAGAAACTCTGAGGGAAGGCTGACCTTGTCCAAACCAAGCACCAATTATTTGAAACGAAGCTTCTCTTACAGCGGGGCCATGTTATGGAATAACTTGCCCAAAAACTTAAAAAACGCTGCATCCGTTGAGCATTTTAAGCGAAATATCAAGAAGGTAGCTGATATATCGGATTCCCACACGGCAATCATGTAAAGCAGTTGTAATTAGTTTTAGTTTTTAACTTAAGCTTAACTGATGATTTCCCGTGTTTAAATAAAGATTTACATACATACATACATACATACATACTTGCCCTCAGAGGCGTTTTTCATTTGACGAACAGAGAAAACTAGGTTTTGACTGTTTGAAATTCTGGATGCCAGAGTGAAGACGCCTTTTGTATGATGACGTCATCGTCCTACAGTAAAAAGCGTTCGTTTTTTGCCATTGATATTACGTCAATCGGTACACTTATGTTGTCGAAAGGTCCGTGAGCATGGTAAATGATTTTACCTTAAACTGCAGACACATCTTCAATCACTCCTTATTGTTCGCGATATCGGATAAACACTCTGGTCTCTAACTGAATTTTCTTTGCTGTTTACTTTATTTTGAATTAGGCCTGTCTTGAGTTGTCCATGCATTGTCTAGCGATTTTAAACTTTTTCAAGGAAACAAAAATCTGGAATTGTCCCTAGGGTGAGGCATTTGCGCACAGTTTTAAAGCCCTTCGGTGGGGTAACTGTGGTTTTTGCTGTCCCGGGCTCATCCCTCATTCTTCTTAACCCCTTCCAAACCAATTTTTCTGTTTATCAAGAATCTCCTCAAAACGGGCTTCGTGATTGACACAAAATACCTGAAAATTGTACACGGAACCGTTGTTAACGGTGTACAAGGTAGAATGAGTCTATTTATTACTTTGCCAACGCCCAATTTTTAAAACCGGAAGTAATGATGTTTATTTCAAGGGCTCATGTCTCATGAGTTTTGAGTAAATCTTCAAACGCTGTAAACACATGTAGCTGGAACTATCATCGCATCGATCCTCGCTCACTAATAATGATAACTTATATCAACTTCCATTATTTATTGCCTGGCTAAGATTTTCACGGATTCTTCAGTTCAGTTGTTTGAAACCAGGCGGTTTCACGTGAGTTGTAACGCCAGGCAAGGAACGTGACGACCCGCGATATGCGTGGGAAAATATTACTTTTTTTCGATCAAGGTGGAAACTGGCAACTTTGTCGTCGAGTAAGGTAATACATCTCAATTTTCATTACTATGGTTAATTTTAAAAGCTCTGGTTTCGGTAAAGGAACTGGAGGAAAATCAGGAAAATTCCAGTTCGACTGTGATGGTTGAATTTTGTTTACGCGTCATAGCATAAACATAACAAATTCATTTTCCTTTTCCTTATACAATCTGCCTTTTTTTATACTGTTTTTCGCAGCAGAGTTATCGATTATATTACAGAGGCTAATTTTATTACACAGATCACTCAGATTTAATGACAGAAACTCTATTATCGATTGTAATTTTGGCAACACCTGGCGAGTATTCGGTTCAGATCATAACGAGCTGCACGGTCTTAGCAACCAAGAAAACCCCTCAGTATCCAGCTGAGATAGCTGAGTAAAAGTCAGCTATCTCAGCTGGATACCCAGTAGCTTGCAACATTCCCTATTCCCTTAATCTCTGATCGTATTTCGCATCTAATATGATAGAGGCGTCAATTTTCACGCAATCATGTCATCATCCTGAGGCGACAAATAAAATTAATTAAAAATGCGGTATCAAACAAAATGTCCGGAAAAATAATTCAGTGCCTTCTAAAAAGAACATTTTAAAGTCTGCGGTCATTGCCAACGTGTTATATATCCCAGAAGCGCTCAGGCATAATAACATCATGCCAGGACTTCTACCTGGGTGAACCAGAAAGGATATACAACAACAGCATAACTTTTTTTTTCGGCTACGGATCGAAACGCTAAACGTGTTATATATCCTAGAAGCGCTCAGGCATAATAACATCATGCCAGGACTTCTACCTGGGTGAACCAGAAAGGATATAGAACAACAGCCTAATTTTTTTTTTTCGGCTACGGATCGAAATGCTAAACGTGTTATATATCCTAGAAGCGCTCAGGCATAAGAACATCATGCCAGGACTTCTACCTGGGTGAACCAGAAAGGATATAGAACAGCTGCCTATTTTTTTTTTTTTTTTCGGCTACGGGTCGAAATGCTAAACGTGTTATATATCCTAGAAGCGCTCAGGCATAATAACATCATGCCAGGACTTCTACCTGGGTGAACCAGAAAGGATATAGAACAACTGCCTATTTTTTTTTTTTTTTCGGCTACGGGTCGAAATGCTAAACGTGTTATATATCCTAGAAGCGCTCAGGCATAATAACATCATGCCAGGACTTCTACCTGGGTGAACCAGAAAGGATATAGAACAACTGCCTATTTTTTTTTTTTTCGGCTACGGGTCGAAATGCTAAACGTGTTATATATCCTAGAAGCGCTCAGGCATAATAACATCATGCCAGGACTTCTACCTGGGTGAACCAGAAAGGATATAGAACAACTGCCTATTTTTTTTTTTTTCGGCTACGGGTCGAAATGCTAAACGTGTTATATATCCCAGAAGCGCTCACGCATAATAACATCATGCCAGGACTTCTACCTGGGTGAACCAGAAAGGATATACAACAACAGCATAACTTTTTTTTTTTGACTACGGGTCGAAATGCTAAACGTGTTATATATCCTAGAAGCGCTCAGGCATAATAACATCATGCCAGGACTTCTACCTGGGTGAACCAGAAAGGATATAGAACAACAGCCTAATTTTTTTTTTCGGCTACGGATCGAAATGCTAAACGTGTTATATATCCTAGAAGCGCTCAGGCATAATAATATGCCAGGACTTCTACCTGGATGAACCAGAAGGGATATAGAACAACTGCCTTTTTTTTCTACGCGTCGAAGTTCTAAACTTGTTATTCTTAGAAACGCTCTGGCTTAATAATATGCCAGGTTTCCAGCGACTGATTTTAGCTGATTTTGCGGTGCGCAAGAATGGATAATTTACCCGACTTGTAAACAGATATTTCCTTCAGCCGATTGTGTCTCATGCAGGAGAATGTCATGTCTGCGTTGTTTTGTTTCTACTTTATCAAAGAAAGCTTAATAGGAAGATCGCAATTTATACTCTTACCAACTATAAATTAGGGCTGACCTGGAAGACGCGTTGAATTGTGCCGCCATCCTTCAAAATATAATCTGGCTGCGTTTAGGGAGACAATTTCCTCTTCCATCCAGGTTTACTTGGTATATGTGTTTGCGAGAATCTTCAGACAAAGAATTGGGTATACACTGATTCGAATGGCTTGGCGATACTAAGTGCTTAAATCTACTTACCGATTACAACATGTTTTGGAAGTATTGAGAAGCGCGCCAAACGAGGTTGTCACAGCGTTCTCGAGCGAACACGGCGCGACCTGGATTGATAAAATTACTATTACATGCAGCTATCATGCCAGTGATTTCTCCTTTCGTCGCATAGTGAATAGTTTGTGAGCACATCCTCGACTCTCGAAACATTTGTCTTGCGCCGCTATAGAAGTTGCTTCTCCCGCGAACCATAGGTAGATTTCCCGCTTAACATAATGTTTGATAATTTATGCAAAAGTTGACCTCGTGAAAGTCAGCAGTGCATTAATCGACTCAAAAATAAACAGACTTCCTACAGGGTTTTGAACACGGTTTTAATTAAAGTACTTTACGAGCGCTGCGGTAGTTGACCGCAAAAGTGTTACGGTGATGGATATTCAACTGGATGATTGCGTCACTTCATAGCAACCAGACGGTACGAATTTTTTAACTTCCGGAGCGCTGAGGCTCGTAGTGATTGACAAAGTCGCTAGAACAGTCTTCCATTCATTACTTTTGTTTCTGCTCCGTTAAATTTGCCCAATTTTTTTATTAATGAACTCGATTTAACTACAAACAGTGAGTATTCAGGCAGATTGGCAAGCTTCAATGCGATGTGGCAAAAGAGATATACGCCTTTAAAATTCTGTTAATTTTGCGGGTGTAAAAAATTCAAAAAGTATACCCACCAAAAGTTTAATCGATCGTTGCGAAAACGTTATCAATTTCGAAGTAGTTTCTAAAAATACAATAAAGAGGGATTGTTCTTTCAATCTGTATTGGCAAAGGAAGATTAGCTTTGAAGACAGGGTTGTAGTCGAAGGCTCAAAAGCAGCTTCTATTAACCAATATGGCGCCGGTCCGAGGCACCCAAAAACCGGCCATGTCGATAATTTCCGAAGTAGGAGGAATTAGAACCTAAAGTTACCTATTCCTTATTAAAGACCTTAAATCAAGTCTACATGCCAATTTTTAGCCAATTCGGTGAGATAGGGTGGCAGCGCCTTTTTAATATAGCTCGAATCTTACAGACAACTGCTCTTAAAGAGTTTCAAGAGAAATTTAAAAAGGCATGCCCTTCTGCACCAGTTATCCATGTAAAAAACGACAGCTCAACCTCTATTAAAACAAATTTCGGTGAACACCAAAAGGGTAGTCCTCTTAGTTATCACTTATCTTCAACTGATAGTATTGGAGCTGATCATGCAAACAAACATCTACAGTGAGTTACCAATTCAACTTCCTGTGCTCAGTGATGACTGGAGTGAATATTTACATGGATTTCATAATCAAAGTACATCCAAGAGCCTCAAGGAGGTCATTTATAACAAAACCTCTATCAGCCATGACATTGTCTCCTCTTTCAAGCAATTACAATGAGAGAATTCCAGACTGTTTAGTGATTTCCTTGTCTGATATGCCTCCAGTATACAACTGAGATACAAAAGTAACACTACCTGAAGGTGCAATACCCAACAGTGCTTTAGCTGTACTGGTACTTTTGTACTGTGAGAAAACTTGAGATTGCCTCAACAAAGAGGAAGGTGTCTGGATCTTGAATTCAGTGGCCTCAAGGATCACCCTTGTTGAAGGAAATTTCCTAAAGCAATCGGGCATTGTTTCTTGAATTACATGTTTCAGCAACCAGAAATTGATAGATCCGCAACACAAAATGAAGCAAATTGATCCATGATGTGAATACCCTTGAAACTGTGGAACTAGAAATGTTGAATAAGTTAGCAACGTGGTGCAAAGGAAGACCAAAACGTAGTTTTACAAGGGTCAGGAAAAGTTCATCCATCTTTGATAAAGCTCTCTCAGTAATATATAGATTTAGCCAGGGCTAAAAGCGAAGCTCCAATTAATAAATTTATAATTTAAATCTAACAATAAACTTTTAATCCACAAATCAGTTAACTTAAGGGCACATTCATGTGACTTTTGAGGGAGAGGCTAAGTTATTTTAGAGTGAAACCGTCTTACATCGAATTGATAACCTTATATGTACACCCAAAAAATAGCAAACATCTTTGATCACATTCAAGATCACAGTAGATTAGGCCTCGACAACAAATTCTTGGAAAACAAATCACGCCGAATTTTTTTAAGTTCGACAGGTTTACTTTACAAATTCTTGCCAACAAATCTGGGGGTGTTTAAACCAACCTTTTATAATTTTTATACATGGCATTTGTGGTGAAACAGTATTATTTATCATACAGACCTCGGACAGAATGCGGTGTTTCACAATTTTTCAAGACAAATTGCACGCAGTCAATCAGGACGATCAATCGTGGGCTTTAAGCGAAACCGATCAAAAATTTCGAAAATCACCCATACGGCCAGCTGGTTCTCGTTTCTATAGTGCTAGCTGTCAGTGTGGTCGAGTGTTTGAATGAACTTTAATTGAGTTACGCTTCAACATAATAGCGAATTTAATATATAGATTTAGCCAGGGCTAAAAGCGAAGCTCCAATTAATAAATTTATAATTTAAATCAAACAATAAACTTTTAATCCACAAATCAGTTAACTTAAGGGCGCATTCATGTGACTTTTGAGGGAGAGGCTAAGTTATTTTAGAGTGAAACATCTTACATCGAATTGATAACCTTATATGTACACCCAAAAAATAGCAACATCTTTGATCACATTCAAGATCACAGTAGATTAGGCCTCGACAACAAATTCTTGGAAAACAAATCACGCCGAATTTTTTTACGTTCGACAGGTTTACTTTACAAATTCTTGCCAACAAATCTGGGGGTGTTTAAACCAACCTTTTATAATTTTTATACATGGCATTTGTGGTGAAACAGTATTATTTATCATACAGACCTCGGACAGAATGCGGTGTTTCACAATTTTTCAAGACAAATTGCACGCAGTCAATCAGGACGATCAATCGTGGGCTTTAAGCGAAACCGATCAAAAATTTCGAAAATCACCCATACGGCCAGCTGGTTCTCGTTTCTATAGTGCTAGCTGTCAGTGTGGTCGAGTGTTTGAATGAACTTTAATTGAGTTACGCTTCAACATAATAGCGAATTTAATATATAGATTTAGCCAGGGCTAAAAGCGAAGCTCCAATTAATAAATTTATAATTTAAATCAAACAATAAACTTTTAATCCACAAATCAGTTAACTTAAGGGCGCATTCATGTGACTTTTGAGGGAGAGGCTAAGTTATTTTAGAGTGAAACATCTTACATCGAATTGATAACCTTATATGTACACCCAAAAAATAGCAACATCTTTGATCACATTCAAGATCACAGTAGATTAGGCCTCGACAACAAATTCTTGGAAAACAAATCACGCCGAATTTTTTTGCGTTCGACAGGTTTACTTTACAAATTCTTACCAACAAATCTGGGGGTGTTTAAACCAACCTTTTATAATTTTTATACATGGCATTTGTGGTGAAACAGTACTATTTATCATACAGACCTCGGACAGAATGCGGTATTTCACAATTTTTCAAGACAAATTGCACGCAGTCAATCAGGACGATCAATCGTGGGCTTTAAGCGAAACCGATCAAAAATTTCGAAAATCACCCATACGGCCAGCTGGTTCTCGTTTCTATAGTGCTAGCTGTCAGTGTGGTCGAGTGTTTGAATGAACTTTAATAGAGTTACGCTTCAACATAACAGCGAATTTATTATTATTATTTTTTTGTTATTTAATGGTTTCAGTTATAACGATGTGTAATCTTATAAAGCGTTTGATACGCACGACAGTTTTGAGTACTACTGCAAGCGATGTTCACGAACGATGAAAACAAACGGCACGGACAAGCGATTAAAAATGAAAGAGAGACTACTAAAAATCAAAAAAAGAAATATAATTCGGTGAAACATTTACAGAGACAACAATTTTCATTCACGAAGACAAGCATTATAGTGTCTCTAAAAATCCTAAGTCTTTTAGCGTAAAGCTTAAGCCGGCTTCCCGGCGCGGTGTTTATTGTTTTCGAAGGTGAACTCCTCGAAGCAAGAAAATCGCTCAAAGTTTTCTTTCTGCAGCCAAATTTATAACTAAATATTCTTCGGAACGTTTTCTTTCTATTTGTGGTGAGCAAATGTATCTGAAAGCTTTTTAAAGTTCTGTAAGCTTATATCAAACCTGATACTGACTCAAATCCTACAAACGTGCATAAACTTGCCGCATAAACTGTCAGCGTGAACTGTGCAAGACTTCATGAAATTAGATATAACAAAAACAAATTAAACATCAAATACAATAATTACTCAGCCTTACCATTCGAGATTCAGTTCCTGAAAGCTATCAAGGAAGGCCACAGTTGCTTGAGTCTTTTTAAACCCCCTTACGCATTAAACAAGGTGAAAAAAGCTGAAAAACGAAAACGATGCCTTCCGAAATCGAATTACCGAATTTTGACAAGCGACGCATTTCTCAACCAAAAACGTACCCAGTAAACAAACCAGCCATGAATAACAGAAGACTCTTGATAGCAGCTATATTTCATTTTGTGCATCCGGAAGAAAAAGACAGTTAAAAACATCACAAGTTGACACAAAACTCTTCAGCTTCAGCTGTCAAAGTAAACAACTTTCAAGATGCTGCATAATTTTTCCGCATGAACTCACCTGTCAAATTTTGACCAATCAGAGTATAAAAATTGGACGTAGAGCGTGACCAACGCGTGACCATGGTAAGATAAGGTCTTCCTCGCCTGTACTTTTAAAAAAACTGGTTGAATTTTCGCTTCCGAGGTCAGTTTGAAATCAAAATCCTAATAGTGCGGGGCCATAGTGACATAAACACAACATATTTGATATGAATCCTTGGAAAAAATAAACTTGAGCCTGTGATCATTTGAAACTGGTAATTTGTCAGCGGATAACTTCAACAAATACTCGACCTCGATGGGTCGACACTTGAGCCCGCGGTACGGTCAGGTGATACTGGTCAGCGGATGCCCTGTTTTGATAGCTGTCAATTGATCACAACATTGATGTACAATTAGTTTTCTCTTGGGCTCCCAAATTAAGTAAATGTGTGAGAGTAAACATTGGTTTTCCTGTGGTGCGGACGGACGGTCGGTCGGCGGTCGGCGGTCGGTGTACGGTCACGTGATTATCAAATTTTCTGGGATGGGTAGATTTACTTAGCCATGGGGCTCCGCCCACGCGCGCGCTTTGCGCGCTCGTGGAGCTCCGCTATAACCTGTACTCTTACTAGACATTTGTGTATTCTCAACACTATTAGACAAGGTCCCATGAACATTAAGGCTCCAGTAACTCATGTCTTCAGCATGACATAAAACAAAAGTCAGAAATTCTTTGTAGCTGGCTGAATTTTGGAAGCCAGTATAAAAGTGGATATCGTCATCACTACCATCAAATCGTTTAAATGAAAACAACATACTCTTAGAACTTCTTTTTATCGTTAGAAAATTAGACATCAAAACCTGTATTTCATCATCCTTTTCTTGAAGCATTGTCTCAAGCCGCGAGATATCACGGTCCTTCTCCTGACAGTTCTCGCATGGTTCTTTCGCTCCCACATTTCCAAGCACAAATGAACTTGTCCTTGACAACCGCTGTTTGACTGGTGTTGCCCAGGAAAATACTGACGGAACTGCATCGTCCTTGAGAACTGTTTTGCCACCAAGTGTTGTTCGATAATCGCTCGCAGTAAAATGAAGAGAACACACTCGAGTGTGCTCCGATACAGTAAATGATTCTCCTTCATCACGACGTATTTTTACCAGCGATGCCTTCTTCATCAACTCACATTTTGGAAAACGATGAAATGACAGTTCTTTTTCCCTCGTTGACTTAGTATGGCAGAGCGGAACACAACAACTGTTTACCATGCTGCACGCACTTTAATCCAAGATGGCGGACATATACCTCCAGTAACCAGTCCCCCCGTGGCATTCAAAAGGTCTATAGCAGGTGTCGCCCTCCGGGTTGTCCTCTTGCTGTTTTTGCCATGTTTTTAGCCATTATTTCGCCTAGTTCCAGCTGTAGTACTTACTCTTGAAACGAGTGAAGTGTCTGCAATTTTAATTTTCACAACGAAAACAACTTAACCTCGTCCCCAGCTCTTCTCGGTTAACGATGCATTAACCTGTAGAAGGCTGCATTTTTGACGTCATTTCCTCGTTAAGCACAAAATTCTTCCAAATTTGGTCATCAGTAACTGATTATGGTGAATTATGCGTGTGCTTTTAGCCAATCAGAATTGAGGAATATTTTAAATGAATAATAATAAATTTTCAACCTCGGATAAAGAATATCTAGCATTGAACTGATTGGCTCACTCAATCTCGGTTTATCTTAGTTTAGTTTACCTCCTTAGTTTGACCTCATATGGAAAAACAACAAAGCGGCAGAAAAAAGTAGATTTTGCGAGCTTTCCACCGACGAAACAACAGGAAAAAACAGAAATGCCATAACGGCTGCGACAAAAAAGCCACAAACTTTGGTCTGAAATTATCTAATGGTACTCCGAAGTGTCCTCAGAAATTTAAAGAAATTATGAGAATAATTCTTCCGTACGTCGAGCTGATTTTGTAACTACAACAACAACAACAACAACAACAAAGTTTACCTTAAAAATTTTTCAGAATGGTTTGCATTAGTCCTCGCAGGTGTAAGTTTTCAAAACAATTAGCAGATTTTTTTGCGTGTTTGAAGAGCTTTTACACCTCTTAACACTTTCGCAAGTCCATAACGGACCATAACATGCCTCAAGTGAATCCTACAACCAGCAACCAGCAACCAACTTTCCATTGAACAACAACAAAAACAAATCGACTAATGAAGCCGGGTCTTTGTGCAGCTGCGATTTAGTGGATTCGGTGGAGGAAGAAAACGAAATTGAGCAATCAGGTCGACCTATTCAGGGTCAAATTCCACAGTCACAGAGAGGGAAAGCGAAAACAGTACTTGTCGAGAATAATTTACGCAAAGCGTCCTTCCCTGTCAGATTTTTCATTCAACTAAGTTCGCAAACGGCGCACATGCCATGTGATTTTCCCATAGGCGTACGGGCAATTTTTTGCCAGGGGGGGCGTTAAGCCATTTGCCCAAAAAATTCTCCCAAGTTGCCCAAATTTTTACGAGACAGTAGAAAAGAAACGAGGGCGATACGATGCAATAACGTAGGCCGTACTGGCATATAAAGGTCAATACCTCCCAATTTTGAGAATAACTACGTCGCCATACACAAACATTTGGAAAAACTGCTAGTTTTATTAGATAAAGATGAAAATTTATCATGAGCAGGGTTTTAATGAAATCGGAATTGTCATAACAACGAAATGACGCAATTGTCTATTTTACTTGCAGCAATATTTCTCGGCACTGGGAACTATTCCTACAAAATTGTTCACGGGAACTTTTTTCTCCAATAGTCGCCTCGATGTTCGTGAAGTTAAAACGGAATCTATAGGAGCGTTATTGGGATATTTTGGGATGAAGGTTTTATCATTATAAATATGGGGAAAAAATCTTGATGTTTGGCTGTTATTTGTAGAAAACGAAGCTCTTTTGACATGCAATTTCACCTCATAGTAGCTTCAATCTTTTTAAAAACGTGTGTAAAAGATATGATCATGGATATGGCTCCGGCCGATTGCTAGAGAGAAGGATTTCATTAGTATCGAGGCGCTCTTGTTAGCGGTTTTGTAAACATTTCGGTCTACTTTAATAAATTATTGCTTGATAGATTTTTTAAAAAAATTGATATTCTTCTCGTAATTCGAGAGGATTACTAGTCAGCCACTTCTTCATTTTCAGACCCTGTTGCTGAGATGATTCTAGAAAGATATGCGGAAATTTATTCTAATCAATTCACGACTGGAAAGAGCCCATTCCAGTCACAGTGCAGTACAGTGCTCACCAATAAAAAACTATAAATATGTAAATCAACAAATGATACCCTTCCCTATAACCAGAAACTCATCACGCGCTAGGCAACCACCGTGAGTGTCTCGAGAGAATGTAACTGGATTATTACGCTGACTTCAGGATTTTTTCAGATTAAAATAGAAAATATTTGTCTCTTTAGAGTAATAAAAAAAACATGGAAACGTCTTTAAAAACTGGCTTTGCCCAAATTTTCTCTTGCTGCCCAAAAAATCTGAGTCGCCCAAAATTTGGGGGGGCTGCAGCCCCCCTCACCCCCCCGGCCCGTACGCCTATGGATTTTCCCTTGGTTTACCGGAAGTTACATTAATATCCGGTCGTTTTGTAATATTTAAAATGAAATTTACTAAAATTCAGTTCTAATAACCGGAGGTTTGAGGTTTAAATTTAACAAAACAATTATTCCTTTCGCGCTTGTTACTCTAGCTGGCGTAAGCAGCGAGACTCAGAATCTGCAACGCGTTTTCGCATTTTTGTTCCTATTTTATACACAAATGGGGGACCATTATGTCAGGCGTTCCTAGCGAAGACCGTGGAAACTGGGACTAAGAATCGTTGCGTGATCGAAGTCACACATTTTTTAGGAAAGATTAAATCTAGAGCTTTTCCGGAACGTGTCGGTCCACGAATTCTATCGCTTCAAAGCGTTGATTACTTTGGAACAAGTGAACACTACTAAGTAGTTGAAGAAAAACAAAGAATCTTAATTAGCAAAACTGCGATGGTCTGATGTTGTAAACTTTCATTGTATGCAGATGGCTCTTGTGACGAGAATGCGGTTTATTTTCGATGATGATTCGAAGATACCCTGAGCACGCATAGATACACAGCGAAATCAGCCGAATTTCCTCCGAAGTGTTTTCGGATCACGACGAATCTATTTTGTTGTAGCGTAGCAGTTGTGGCGTCAAGATGTCGTGTCTCTTCGCACTTGCTTGTCTTTTTTTTTTCTGCGGTGCCTTGTTGAGATGTTGGTGAATGCTGGACAAGAAATGGATTCTGCGAGAGACTGTAAGTACAAATTTAGTTTTAATTTAGTAATGAGAAAGCCTGAATATCGAAGAAATCCCGTGAATTACCGTTTTGGTATTCAGTTTATCTTATTGTTGAGCATACTTAGAACTCTCAGGCATAAGTGGTTGTCAACTCTTTCAGTTCGGATATATTGTTTCTGTTTGTCCGTCTTAACTAGTCTTCTTCTGTTGTTAAGAAGACTACAGAAAACTTCAAAAAATTAGAAACCAACGCTAAAAAAAGTCAGATCTAATTATATAACTGGAGCATAATTGTTTTTTGTTTTTGGCACCTTCGGTCATATTTTTTGTACTGGTAAGCTTACTTTGCGAACTGAAGATGATCTCAATTTTGCTGCATAGTTTGACTGTTGTTTGAAAGACAATCATACTTATATACGATCACTTTTGGAGACAAAATAAAATATCCGTAAATCAAATGCCAAAATCAGATTTAGATTTCGCTTTAAAAAAATGAAAATGCTGCAGATGTCAATGCAAAGTTGTGAAACAACTCAAAATAAAGTTTTAAAAGCAGTCTGTAAATGTGCGTTTAGGTCCAGAAAACTAATTTAAAATTTCTTTTTGACGTCTCATCCAAGTAAAGACTTATGCCCTGCATTGCTCGTCTACGAGTGTTCTGCAAAATGCTTTACTACAGCAAGCCTCTGAGAGGCGATTATGATAAATTTAGTCGACGCTAAAATGCAAAAAAATCTAGGCTTACTTAAGCCTAATATTCGAATTAAGGCCGACCCAAATTATTTAGACCGGCTGATTTGATTCAGACTCTGAACTAAGTTCAGAAGGCGAAAAATGCTCAATCGGGCCAACTGCTTACAAGGTACATGAAAAGTTCGGGGTCCGAATCAAAGCCGTTCCAAAGTCGCTCCAAAGGCTAGGCGAAAAGAACTGCTAAGCCGTTCCTAAGTGATTGAGACGCCGAACTTTTCATGTATTTAATTCATTGTATTCGGTTCGGCTCATGAAAAGTTCGGAGTCTGAACCGGGCCTAAGCTTTTTTTATACACTTCTCATATGGTAGTTTCACTTTTTTATACACCGATTGAGAAACAAAATCGCCCTCGTTAAATCCTATTTTAAAGTTTATGGCCTTTCTTCACAAACCCTAATCAGTTGACGCACCATGAGGGAATATCGTCACAAAGATGAGAAAACTTTTCACTGAATTTCCTTTACATATTCCGGGTTTATATGGGTCTACACCTTACCCGCAAAAGTATAAAACTGTTGTCAAGTGTCAGTCAAGCTCAGAATAATGGTGACTTGCAAAACCGAATGCAAAGGCTTATTTCACAGTGGAAAAGCGTGTAAACATCATCGAACATTGACGCTACGTAAATTGACCACTTCAGAAAATACCATAACATACCATAGTACTCTTTGTTGGTCACTCCAAAATTTTGCATATAAAGCATTGTCTTCAGTTTCTCTTGGGAGTTAAAATGGCCCCAGGAGAAACTGAAAACAATCCTTATGCGAAATTTTGGAGTGAGCAACGAAGAGTATTATGGTCTAATATTTTCTGGAGTGGTCAATTGGTTAATGTGAAACCATGTTTCTTTTACTTAATTTACCATGCATTTATGTCAATTGCACACTCTTGTGAAATTAACCTCAGACAATTAGTTGCGACCTCATGTTAAGAGAAGCTGCTCCTCCACATGTTCTATTTTTTTTTTTATTTTCTTGCATGTATTAACATTCCATTTCTTTTTTGTTACAGATAGCTGTAGATTCAAGGAACTAACCTGTGCATTTAAAGCACGCCAGAGACTGATTGTGACATGCCCGGCAAGCGATAGAATTTGGCATGCCCGGCTAGCTAGGCTCATATTTAGGCTCGATGGCCTGAAATGACGCAAAATTCATGCCCTAAATGTCCTCGAAATTTTAGCTTCCAAGCTGTTTTTGCTCTTTGGGCTATTTTTTCTAGGGATCTCAATTTGATCCTCGGCTAATCTTCTTTTCGGAGCAATATCATGAAATTGATTAAAACAACATCAACAAACAAACAAACAAACAGAGAAGAGTGAGTATTTCCACACACTATACTTTATTATCATACACATCATTTTGCCAAAATTTGGAGGCCCGTTACGTTGTTCATAAAAGGTCTGCAATACGATGTTCTTAGGTTTCTTTGGTATTTTCTTATTTTACAGATGAAAAAAGGAAAACACTAAGAATAAAAATCATTGCCGAGACTGAGAATTATTACTACTATCTGACTACTATTATTGTTTCTTAAGATGATGAAAACCTCTTTGCTATGAAATGTCGTCTGTCTTCTCCTTATATTACATGTCACATTCACCGCGGATATTAAGTCAGACGAACCGGCGCAGAGTATACATAAAAGCCTAAGTACTAAGGAAGCTAATACGAGATAAACTAGTGGAAAATCAGTTTGTTTTCTAAATTTAATAACAGAGCGAATTTTTAACTTCCTGTTTGAAAAAATGTAAGCTACAATCAAAAGTGCTATTCAGTTTGGTTCGGCCGTCGGACGCCTTGTTGAACTTAAAACTAGTGCCTTAGTAACATGTCACGTGAACTTGAATCTGAACAGCGGTTGGTTCTTGGTTTGTTTTGGTCCAGGTTATCAAATTTGATAACTATCTCGGACTGTTTAAGTTGTCAGGAAGTTCAGTCGGCGGCAAAATATCAGATATATTACTAGTAACTACCGTTACTAATTGCGTGTTGACCATAATGTTTTGTCCTCTTTTTCGAATAATATCGCTGTTTTATTGCTATTTAACAGACTTACAGCTACTGCATTCTAAATTTCCTACAGTTATTGAGGAGAAGGTTAAGTATCTCCGGTAATAACCGATGAAAATGTTAGAAATCATATTTCAGAGTACACATGCAGTCCAGAGATGTAGGAAATTGAGATTGAAGAAAGTTCACTTTCTTAATGACCTTAATTACTGTCTAATTGACTTGCATAACCATGCAATGACATAAATATAATATCTGTTTATTTTAATTTCGCCAACAAATGGTTGACGTTGTAATTCCAAAGAAACAATGAAAGTTGGCAACGGAGGTTTTGGGCAACTTACTCGGGTAACCCATTTTGATTTTCGGAGCAAATTTTTCACGCAAAATAAAATTTTCACACTTGTCTTGCCCTTACCCTAAAGCAACTCAGGAATAAATGTAACAAAGCACACAAATGGATAATATCGAACGGTTAACGTACCATGGAAATATTGAGGTAACGAATTTACGCTTTTATCCATAACACCTCGGCTAAAACTAATATTGATAGCAAAAAATTTCAGGAAAATATTTTGGCAGAAAAAAACTGGTTTCTATTCAATAAATTCTCCAATAACAAAGAATAAATTTCAGCAAACCCTTTGTGCCAATTCTGTTTAATTCCTAAATTCATGACATGTCTATGAGTTAAGGTAACGGAGGTTATTACAAAATTGTGGACAATATATTCCTGAGTTCATGGGCTTATTTGAAAGCTTAGCTATTTCCCATATACAAAGGTTTGCTCTATCCCGAGGGGTATCCCGAAACTATTGTTGTTAAAACTCTAAAATATTTTGTATATGTATGCAGCGGACATGCCAAATTGGCACTTATTAGGGCTTTCTCTTGTATGCTAAAACAGCAGAAATAGTAAGCATCTATCATTGTCTGAATGGCCGCCGTTTTCACACTAGAGACGGATGATCCATCTTCAAAATCCGTCAAAATTGACGGATGAACGGACCGGGATAAAGTCAAGCGGATTGTTCATCAAAACTGAAATCCGTTCCATTCGAATTACCTGTCTGGTGCGAATTATTCAACGGATGACCCGTCTCAGACAGAATCCACCTCTAGTATGAAAGCGGCCAATGTTGTGTTATGACAACAGAACTGTCCTATGCGTTTATTAGAACAACACCCGCACGGTGAAATAGACAAATAGACCGTAAAACATCCATTTGCTACATTTTACTGGGAATGAGTGTAGTTCCAACATTTACTTTAACTGATTTTACAACTCACAGCATTCACGCGCAGTTTCTCCTGTCCAATTAAAATGACGACGCGCAAAAACATGTGTAAAACCTGTATTATGATCAGCATTTCATATACCGTTACAGATCTTCCAGGCAAACCGGAACCGTCACACTGTGGTTTTGAACATTTTGAACCCTGCCATACACGCACGCTACATTCGGATACTTCCTTACACGTGGTATAGTCATATTTCTATGAGGATAGAACTCTTGGGATGTCCGTCTGGTAGGTGCTGTTTATTTATCTTCACTTCAATCAACATACAGCCTTTCAGTTTCTCACAGAACTGCAATTTATTACGGCGAAACATTTAACCGATCGTAGAATTATAAACGTGTGCAGCGCAGTTTTGGCGAGATTTTGGTATGATCTATAAGAAACAGCGTAATGGTTTTTAGCTTATTAGCCCCTTACTTACCTAGGCCTTTAATCGTAATTGGAGCATAGGCCATTGATGAATGACACATGACCTGTCAAAATCAAATCAACGAGCTCACGGTTTTTTGATTAGCAAAGAAATTTGCAGGTGATGAACACGACTTTACCGGCCAATCAGAGATGGTTTTTTTTTCGGATTCTTCCAGAGGTTAGTGATCCTTTTAGCTTGGGGCTGACCAAAAGGATCGTAGCCTCTGGGAACGAGATTGAAACCATGGATGTCCAATATCAAGTTAAAAACAGGTTGTATATGCCTTGGACTTCAAAGCTAGTAAATGTGACATTTTACATCCGCTTACATGGAAAGGTAGACAGGTTATGTTGTCACAGCCAATATTTTTCAGATATACACATGACCAAATTTTATTACCTACGGTGCTCCGCTGCCTGCGCATCCGCTGAAATCAATGTGTTTGGTCGGCAAAATTCACCAGTTTAGATCAAAGCTCGGGCACTCGCCCGATTTGGCGTCATCTTCTGGAAAATAAAACAAACTGTTTTTTTTTTTCACAGAAATATTCTTACCGTTAACATACCAGTGCTTTACCACATTCTAAAAGCTTTTGAAACTAGCAAATACACGCAGATTTATCATTTCATATATTCAAAATGGCTCCTGTTCAAGTAATCATTACACGAAGTATCTACTCTCCGTCATGGTACTGCTGGTCAAAAACAAACCGTGCCACTGATGTGTTAGCCCGTGTACAGACGTCCCCACTCCCTCAGAAAAAATCAGAGGAAGAGACGTCGTCTCTTCTCCCGCCATTTTTTTCTGAGGGAGGCCGGGGACGTCTGTACACATGCTACTGATGTGTCTTTATTTGCCTTGCGTGGGTCTCGATTTGAAAATCTGTTGATCTTTTATTTTAGTATATACTAAAACAGTGGATAGTGTTTTTCGCGCGCTCTGATTGGCTACTCAATCAGTGAATATTATACACTTAATGTCAGTTCCCTCGGGAAACAGTTAGTTTTGTTTTCCCAAGAGTCCTGAAACATCAGGACTCGAAGTGTTTTGTTATATTTCTAGACTTTCACTTCAACAGCAACAAAAGAATAACCGAAGCGAACCAAAACAGTCGACTAGGTAGTTATAACAACACAAATTTAATTCTCAAAACCACTGAATGAATGATTTACAAACAAAAGTACTTTCCTCATATTATCTGCATCTTTTTCCTCCACTAGCTGCTGTTTTTCTTCTGGGAACTTCTGGGATAACTTTAAAAATCGTTGCTTTTTAGCTTGAGGTTTCGTTTTTGTGTTGTTGTGTTCATTCACGAAAAAGAAAACTGGCTGGACCTGGCGGTGTTTTTCCCGCCTTCTGTCACACCACTTTCCACCATGCTTTGATCACGTGCTGCAATGTATCCCCAGCGGGATACATTGTTTAATGTATCACGATCGGGATACATTTGATTTTAGTCAAGGCCACGTGACCAAGAATCAACCAATGGCAGTCCCTGTTTAGTTGAGTGAAAGTCTAGGAATACAACAACCTGCACTATTCACTGATTCACCTCCAGTCCCTCCGAGCGAGCGACGCCAAACTCCAGTAAGTTGCAAGCAAAATGCCTT